AATTACTCTGAGAAGCAAGCTTCCCCAGTTATCCATTTGGAATAGAATAAGGCAGCACCCTTTTATATAACTGTGCACATTGAAGGCATTCATGAGATCTGCCTGAGAAAGATATTGAATCTCTGGTTTTTTTCCACCATCACCCTACTTACATTCTTTATTCTTTAAAATAAAAATTAACAAATGGAAACAAACAAGTTGATCTAACATGTTGCTTTTAAGTTCTGCATTTCAATCTCTGTTTGGACCAAAATGATCTTGCTAACATAGTTCCATTGCTTTTGAGGTCAGGCAGAAGCTTGGTAACATCTTGTGAAAATAGGTTTTAAAAAATATTTTACAAAGTACAGTAGAGTCTCGCTTATCCAACATAAATAGGCCAGCAGAATGTTGGATAAGCGAAAATGTTGAATAATAAGAAGGGACTAAGGAAAAGCCTATTATACGTCAAATTACATTATGATTTTACAAATTAAGCACCAAAACATCATGTTTTACAACAAATCAACAGAAAAAGCAGTTCAATAAACAGTAATGGTATGTAGTAATTACTGTATTTACGAATTTAGCACCAAAACATCGCAATGTATTGAAACAGCTGTGGATCTGGTCAGGAGGCAGGCTGCGTTGGATAATACAAATGTTGGATGAACGAAGGTTGGATAAGCGAGACTCTATTGTACTACACACACACACCAAAAAAAATCATACTTCCATAAAGCCTGGAGCTCAGAAGCTAGTTTCTACATTATGACAGGAGTACAGATAATCTGACATGTTGAAAGTAAAAACTTTTACACTGTTATAAAAAGGCACACAATTAAAATGGTCCTGAGAGCGCATTCCACAAATCCCCCATCCAGATGAGGTAGATGACAAAGTTTCAATCTTAGAGGGTTAGCTCTCATTTTGGATCCCTTCAAGCCCTGCTCAACCATCATGAAGGTCACTGAACTTCCTTCTGAAGATAGGATTTTCAACCTAACAAAGGATCAAAAAATTGTTGGGGAAATTGATTCACTAGAGCCTCTTTGCATCAGACCGTGTTAACAAAATAAAGATAAAAATGGACCAGAACATGTCTAATTCTGCAGTAGAAAAAAACTTAAGTTTGATTTTAAAGGGGGGCGGGTCACCATGGAGGACGAAGCAGTTCCAAACTTGATTGCTACTTCTATTCTGTTGAGATCAGTACATTTTTTATTTCTCTCCACTTAAAAATGTTTCTTAAGAATCCTCCTAATTCCTACAAATTGATTCTCTGCGAAGGGTTCAGCTTTAAAATTCTTCTAGAAAATTTATTTCTATTAAAAAGCAATACATTTTAAACTTAAATTGCCATAAAGAAACCTTTGCAAAAAAAGTTTGCAAAGGGCAATATTACTGGGCTAATATGAAAAACGTATCCAAGGACATGCATTTGAGTGGTGCTAATTTTTGCGAAGTTTTTATAGTGGTATTGAACAACACATACAGGAAATACCAATCTTCAAACTGGGGGGGAGGGGGGTGGCCAGCTCATTTGATCCTACCAATAGAATCAATTACGTTGATAGGAAGCCTTTTAAAAGTAACAGGCAAATAGTTCTCTCATGTCAAGAATTTAGAAGTGAATTCTTCTATACACCCAGCTGATGAGAAGAAATACAACTGCCTTGTGTTGTCCTTTAACAGACCTATTTATAAGACCGTGTTTTAAGCATTTCTAGTTTGCATCCACAAAGCTGCACATATTTCTGTCAATAAGCAAGCCCTTTCCAAATAATAATTGGCCAAAATAAATAAGAATAAATGACTAGATCCAGTCTAGTAATACAACTTTAAAATATTTTTCTTATAACATACGGCAATTTTATGGTACTACTAATACTAATAAGGAATCCAAGAATTAAAATATTTATTCAATATGGTCTATGATAAGCCATGTGTAGAGGACATTCCTGCTCCCCTAAACATAGCTAAGGCTGGTTATACAGAGCCATGGCATTCCCCTCTGAGAAATTACTGGAACGCCAAATATATTTAAAGAAATATCTAAGATTGCACTCTATGATACGTATTATTTAAGGTGCTATTACCTCAAACTAGTGTAATTCTTGCTGATATAATATTTCAAGAATAAGGAGACTTTCAACACAGCTACTATTAAATTCTAGTGGGAAAAATGAAGCACTGTATTCAGAAAACTCAGAAACAAAAAGCCTAGAGATAATCATTCCATTAATCTAAGCAGTACACACATAACATTTATCTAACAAAATCGGTTATGAAGACTATAGTAGTGGTTTTAAAGTGTAATAAATCCAGAGTGAAGATTATTCCATTTATCATATGATATAAAATAAGTAATATTCTATTTATCTTAAAGGAAATCTGATAAATTCTTATATTGTACCTTTTTCCTTTTATATTGACAAGAATTAAAATCACAAAGTTGAACACACCTAATTAACATTAACGCACAATCCTTTCAGATTTATCTGCAACATCATTCAAGTTTTCTTTTTTCTATATAAAAAACTTTCAATTCATGCTTTGCAACACAGAATCCATTCTCATATATTTATCAGGAGACTATATTATCATCACATACAGTCTTCTAGTATCATTTTATTCTTAATCATTTTATGTGCTTCCTTCAGACTACAATTTGTTTATTTAAATTCTTCCTGCAGTCATAATATTCATTTCTTGAAGAAACATATTTTTCAAATCAAAGCCACAGTAATCAGTTCTTCCCATAATTGATTTCCCCTAACTCACACAAACCTATTGTACAGGGTGAGCCAAAAGTCACAATGGTGTAGGGGTGTACGAAACGTCACAGAGTCCATTCTGTTTTCAGGAAGACTCTTCCTGAAATGGAATTGGAGCTCAGGGTTCTAAATTACAAATCCGAATGGCCCTCCTCCTAATCTCCCGGAATCTTCCTGAAAACGGAACAGGGGGGCACCCAAAATTCAAAACGAACACAGAATGGTTTCGCACACCCCTACAATGGTAACTGCAAATTAAAAACAAAAAATAAAGGTGTTAATCAATATTGCAACCCTTTGTGACTTTTGACCCACCATGTATAAATTCTGTAAAGTTATTGGCTTCTCTTCACAGTATTATAGTAAAACAGCTACAAAAAACTACAAAATAAACTAAGTGCCTTTTCTAGATACTGACTGTTCAATTATTGAAGAAATACAATAATGGTTCTACGTTCAGAACTCACAATAATGTCCTACACACAATGGATACCTGTATACAAGCTCTCTAAAACATAATCTCTACTTCTGATGCCTGGAAGCCTGTAGGGTTTTCTTGAACAACACTGGTATATTTCAGAGTCCCTTCTGCTGAATTTCTATCTGTCTTAATTTCAGATGCACCCACTCTACAGGACAACCATCTATATTTCATAGTAGTTCAAATCAACCCACAAGATACAAGTGCTGGCTCTGACAGGCTGCGTTCAAAGCGAGCTGTAGTAAACATCAACTGTGATGTATTCTCCATCACTACAGAAGGCCTATTTTCTGAGAAAATAAGTCAGCTTTTCACATTTGCAGTTTTGATTTTTGTGGATTTGATTAGTTATAGATTTAATTAATATGTTCTCTCTAGGAACTTTTAGGTCTTCAAGCACAACTCTATGGTTAGCCTCTAGTAGACATTGACCACAGATCCATACTGGAAGAAGTAAAATAAATAGCAATTTCTTTATTTGCAGTTTTTCACTTTCATGGGGTTCCTGTGCCTCTAACCCCAGCAGATGTGGAATGCTGACTGTAGTACATTATCAGTGTTACAGTAGCTATTTTCTATGTACCATTGACTTTAACATTAAAAAAATTTAAGAAAAATGGGGGAAAATGTGGTACTAAAGAGAAGGTCAGCTATGGTGTGCAAATTTAAAATCCAATCACAGGAATGAATGAGGTCAGAAACAGTAAATATACACATTATTTTTTTAAAAAACCGATTTCAAATGGAATAAATGAGTGTGCCATATCAGCATATATATTAATGATTGGTGTGCGTATTTTCTGTTTTGTCTTCTAGGGTGAGATTTTTCAGATTGTTCTGAAAGTCTGGAGTGAAATTCTCTCCAGTAGCCTGAACAAAAGGATTACTAAAAAAGAGGTTTACATCTAAGGGGGCTACAGTTTCAGAATCCCAAGAATCATCACTGCTACTAGAGTCTTCTGTAGTGGTAGGAGGATAGCTCAGTTGTTCCAACTGGTCAATAATGTCAGTGAATTGAAAAGCTGAGCTTGACTCAGAGCGAACAGAATATGCTGGAAAATTCACCATAGAGCTAGCTTCAGAATGATTAGCAGAGCCGTAAGTATGCAAAAACTGTGTACCATTTAAGGTTAAATTGTTCAGAGAACTACTTTCAGATCGATTGTTAATTAGTGAACTAGTTTCAGAGGGGCTCAGTAGACTTTGCATTCTGCTGGCCTGAGCTTTAACTTCAAATAGTTCTGAGGTATCTGATGGCTGCTCATTTCCATTGAAATCACTATCTTGTTCAAATTCAAACTCATCATCCATGTTCATATCTACCGCTTCTATGGAATATCTATCAGGACTTGACTGGCACGACACAGCATTCTGCTGCAAAATTTCTTTGGTTAAAGCACTTGAGTTTGAGAGACACTTAGATAAATTTGACTCCTGAAAATCTAAATCACTATACAAATAAGAAAATGCCTCGGTTCCTCCACCAAAAAAGGAAATTTCAGTTGGATCATCATCAATGAACTCTTCAGAAACCTGAAGCTGGGAATTAACCAGTTTTAAAGGTGGGGCACCCCTTCCTTGAGGCTCATGTTGTTTGACACTAATAGTCATACCTGTGGTATAATCATCCTCATCATTGTCATTTTTACAAGTAATCTTATTTTCTTTGCCACAGTTTTCTAAAGCTACATCTAAACTACAGCTACTCTCAATACCAGCACAAAAGGGACTGCGGTCTTCTGCAACATTACAAAACCCAACACCTTGGAATGACTGGAGTACTGGTGATCCAGGCTCCTGTATCACTTTCTTCCCAGTTTCTTCTGATGATCCACTATTTCCTTCTGCTGGCAAGCTCCTTGTATGTAACATTCTGGGCTCCAGAAAGTAAGCATTGCTTTCTGTGAAAGTGGGTAAGCTGGCAATGTTTGCAGATAATACATTATCCGAGTGTAAAGAAGAATATGTGCATATGTTAGACCCAGGGGTTCTTAACCCATCTGTAAACGAGAGGCTCTGGGGAGAAAAGAAGAAAGGTTTATATTAGATAACTATTTTAGCAATTGTGTTAACAGGAAGTGATATGTAAGCATGTTCTATGCAAGTAAGTTTGGATATTGGTCTACAAACTATAAATACAGTGCCTTTAAAACATACTTGGTGATAACTGAACCAGAAATTTGACATAGATGCCTCGTGGGACCCAAAAGTGAGAACCTGAAGATTCATTCTTGTCCTTTTTCCAGGAATTAAATACCTATAAATGCTGTTAGTCAGCTGCCCTTGTGGCGATGGTGCAATACAAACATCGTATTACCTTGGATTATCTACAAAAAAGTAAGATCTGGTTTTCCCATTCCAGTTCTAAAATCTATATTTTAAAATGGCAACACCTTAAAGACTATAAAGTAGTTTCAATGTGAAAGACACAAAATGCCATGGCTACATGAGTAGCTTACATATGTATGGTGCAGCAGCACCTAAATCATTATTACAACAAGTACAAAATTTCATTCAGCAAGTTGTGTTTCCATGCACATGGACACATTTACTGCATATACTTGCCTGTAAAAACCCAAGGCAGGTTTTTGAAAGCAAAGTTATGGATTTTGCTATCGCCTATGGATAATTCAAGGGTCATTCTGCAGAGAGAAGAAAGCACCATCTTGCCTGAGGGGGGCATCCATCTTGCTGCCACCACCATTTTCCCATGCAGGCATTTAAAAGAGAAAGAAGTGGTGCGACAGTAGAGAGAATAGAAGGGGTTGGTGCTTCTTTTAGTTCCTCTGGGGCAGCATGGAATGATTCTGGTAAATGTTAATGTACAGTATTTATACTGATCAGTAGATAAACTGACCTAGAATTTTGACTACAATTTTTAGACTTATGCATGTGTATATGCAGTACTTGATACTGCATTTCTGAAGACAGATAAGAGTCTCAAGTTTGAATTAATTATATGATTCCTGACTACAGAGTTGACATAGATACCTCTCACCCTACTTTAGATATTCCTCTAAAACCAACCTTCTCTAAATTGGAGTCTTCCAAATATAATGGACTACAGCACCTGTCATTCCCAATCATCATATGTTTTAACCGTCAGGAGTTACAGTGCAAAAAAGACTTCGTCTAAAGTGAAAAATGTGCATTGGGTTGGCTTCTGGAACCAATGTAAGAGGGCTGGATGGTGCCATGGAAAAATCCCTTTTCCAATGCACTGCTCCCTGATGTTTTGCTTTGCTTCTCTCCTGCCTCTCTTGATAATGGAAGATGTAGGGAAGTTGTTTGTAGACTCTGACAGGACCCGAGGAAGTGGCTCATGGAGGAATAGTCCCAAGCCTAACTAGGACAATCCAGATCAGAATAATGCACTGCAGAAAAAAGCCAGTGCATAATATAGTAAGATCCTGGAGGAACAGCCCCTCCAGACACTTAGCTGATGTAGGCAGGGACACAGTGTGTACTTTCTGCAGGGGAAAATGCAAATAGGAAGGGGCCAGAATATAGAACACCCCTGGTATCCAGCCGTCTGGAGCAGTTTCAGAAAGTAATCTGGCCTATAAAATACTATCTTATTTCCCTATCCTGGACTAAACTAACTTTCTCCAATAGTTTCCATAGCTAATAGTGAAGCATTTCAAGAAAATTTGGACTACAGTATTTTCACTCTTTTACTTTTCAAGTTTGTGAGGCAGAAAATATTTAGATTTATACTAGGTAAATCTGGGCACAGCAAATGATATACAATGATAAATTACTATTAAGATGAAAGATAATAAATGATCAGTCTAACAGTTGCCTTCACACAATTTGAATGCCATAGTGACTTGTATCTGCTAAAACAGAAAAACAAACAATTCTAACACAAAGTGAGAGAGAATCATTCTGTTGTCACACACCTACATTCCTCATTTAAGCAACAAAATATTAAACTGGAGATACCCAGGCAGTTTGGACAACTTAGTTATTGGCTGTAGGGGACTTTTAATGCCTGATCCATTTTTATTCATACAATCATTTATTTTGACATATCTCTGATTGAGCTATATGAAGAATTAAATAATATTATTGGGAAACAAATATGTTTATCAGATGATAAGAGGTAAATGACAGGGTTGTTGTAGGTTTTTTGGGCTGTATGGCCATGCTCTAGAAGCATTCTCTCCTGATGTTTCGCTTGCATCTATGGCAGGCATCCTCAGAGGTTGTGAGATCTGTTTGAAACAACGGCTGAATGAAAAATAATGCCTCCATCTTTGTAACTCCTCAACAGATGGCAGTACTAGTATGTGGCAGGTACTGGCTTGTTCACTAGACTCTCCCCCCAGTTCTATTTTGGGGGGAAGCCTTAGCATTGCAATTAATTTCATATAAGTGTTTTATATTCAGTTTGTCACATGGCACAGACATCTGTCACTGAAAAGGTAGGAAAAAGAGATATAACATTTTATTTCTCATGTTCCCAAAGCAACCTTTGGGCACAAAGAATAAAACTGTGAGTTCAGTAATACTGCTATCCAAAATGGGAAATACTGATTTAAAAATGATATATTATTAAAAATGCAAAAACAGTCTCCAGATAAGTTGACCTTCCATTCATTTTCTTATCATCATACTTAAAACAGCATCATTTCAAGACTAACTTGTTTGGGTGCATCAGGATTCAAGGTATGAGCAGACATTCTGGTTTTGCTGTGCCTCCTGTGAACAAAGAATATGGTGTAACTAACTACTGAGAAATAATCTAAATATATAACGGGCTAAGCTTTCTTCAACTATTTTCACAGGCTGTTGTAAGTTCAAATTAATAAGTGGTATAAAATTGGTAATAGTAAATGTATCTCAGAACTGTATCAAAAATGATGTCACATATTAGAAGCAATTTTTGATTTTATGTCTAAATTGTAGATAAAAGAGTAATGTTTCTCAACATATATTTTCATACAGACACTGGCACACTATTCTTGTTATGTGCTTTTAAGTCATTTTCATAATGCAAACCTATCATGGTTTTGTTTGTTTTTTTACAAAATTTATTCAGAGGTTTTTCATGGCAGCTGAGAAAGTGTGACTCACCCAAGGTCACCCAGTGGGTTTCCATGGCCAAGCAGGGATTTGAACCCTGTCTCCAAAGAAATAGTTAAAATTCTCAACCAGTATACCATGCTGGCTACACTTATAAAATATATTTGTCAGTTACTTTCCCCCCCCCCCCCCATCCACAATAGGTAGAGGCAATAAACAAACCAAAACTATGAAATATGTAATGAGTAAAATCAGAGCAAACAACAACTAAAACATTCAAAAAGTGGGTTACAACTGTTTGAAAGCCTAAACAAATGTATATACATGTCTAAAGCTACACAGATGGGGACAGTCTGACTTCTTTAGGGAGTTTCATAACAGAATATAGCTGCAAAAATGTCTCTCCCATGTCCCTATCCACCCAAAATAGTCTCTTAGGTTATTGCTATTAATTATCACCAAGTCAGTTTCAATTTATGGTGACCCTATAAACGTGAGACCTACAACTCACCCTATCATCTTGTAGATTCAGGCCATGCTTCTTTGATTGAGTCTATCCACCTATAATGTGATTGTCCTCTATTTCCTACTACTTTTTACCTTAAGTATATGCAGGCAAAGTGTGGTCATAGAACCGGAAATAGCCCCTGAAGGAGGTTTTGCAGTCCTTGAGCCTTCCAGCTCCTAGAACTGTATTTTTCTGAATCTAAATGGGATGGATTTTCTTTCGTGAAGACATAATTCACCCTTCAAATGGGTTGCAGGCGCTCTCTGGACTGTTTAAATAAAAGATAATGTCCATTTTCAAAACCACTTCCATTCTGGGGCTAGTTTTAGGAATCCATGTGACCACTGAAAGATCCAAGGAGCAGAAAATTTGACCCCGGAGCCACCACAATTACCTAGCCCTGCTCTAAAATTATCCCCTGTGGGTAGGTTATTCAGCAGGGATATTTTTTCCAGTACTGTAGCCTCAAACTTATGAGATGATTCCATGGCTATTCATTACTCTCCCTTTGTGAAGAGGAAATACAGAAGAAGACCAGTATTAGATGCTTTCAACTGACATTCATTGCAATAAAAGTGGTGTTCAAAACAACCCCTTTTTTATTTTTTCTGTTGATCTAAATAACTTGGGGCTTTAAGATGCACAAAATCGTTTGGCAGCAAATTATAGCTCCTTCCAGTCCAATCCAATACAATTTCCAGCATTAATAATCAATTTGAAGTTCAAATAAACCAGAAACAATTTAACAGTTTAAGCTTAGGAATAGATTTAAAAGCACAGGATGACCTATAAAGGAACAATAAAAGTTCTTCATTCATAAAATAGCTTGTTACCTTTCATATGGAATTTTTTTCAACCCACTCTCTTTAACATAATCCACCAATTGTTTCTGTGTACGCCCACTGAAAAGCCAAGAGAAGAAACAGAAAAAGTGGAACTGTTACCAAAGTTATCTTAATGAGAAATGCAATTCTGGGCTCTTAACAAAGATATGTTGCTTTCAAGGAATAAGATCCCGGATCTTTAATTTAAAAGGAATTACTGAGAAAGTTTTTTATTCAATTTTCCTGCAGTAATATGAACATTGTTATTCCATACCTGTATCTGAAAGATGACCCTCTGCTGAAGAAGACTGCTTTTGACTTTGGTTTTGGCTGATCAAATAGTCTGAAGAAAGTGTGATACTCAACACATATTTTCCAGAAGTTCTTGCACTCATCTCTACTCCCTAAAAGAAATTCCAAAGTGTCCTGATATGGACCCTAGAATTGAAATACAATGAAGCTCAAATATGCTACAGCCACTCATGTAAAAACAACACACTTCATGAAAATGTCCTCTAAAACACCCCATAGATCACAACCAAAAAATACAGTATTTCAGAAATACTTGAGCAATTCTTCCCCTCATTTCTTTTTATTACAAGTTAGAAAGATTGGCACACAGGTTGAACATTCCTTATCCAGAATTCCAAAATCCAAAACACTCAAAAATCCAAAAACACTCACATGGGTTGCTGACATGGGTGGCTGACTTAGTGACACCTTTGCTGTAAGATGGTACAAACTTTGGCTCGTGCAAACATTATTTCAAATTTTGCAAATAAAATTACCTTCAGGAAATGTGTATAAAGTATATATGGAACATAAATGAATTTCATGTTTAAGACTTGGGTTCATCTCCAAGACTTCTCATTATGTACGCATATGCAAATACAGGTATTGCAAAATCCAAAAACACTTCTGGTCCCAAGCATTTGGAAAAGTGATGCTCAACTTGTAGGTAGTCTGGAATACCATATACAAAGTGTTACTGAAAAAAATTAACCCATAATTAAAAAGGACAAAATTATTGACCAGCATGTAAGCTTAACAGCAGCAAAAGTGCTGTTAAAAACCTATTTTGTTGGTTTGAGATCATTCTGACCAAATGTTTGGATAAAACAAAGTACAGAAAAAGTGGGAAAAATGATTGAGCAACTAGAGTTACTCCACTATGATGAACAATGTACAATGATTGGTTCTATTTATCTCAAAAAAAAAAGCCAAGCAAGGAAAGACACAACAAAGCTGTGTAGAATTATGCATGCTGTAGTTAAAGCTGATAAGATTCTTTCTTCTCTGACAGTACTAAAACCCAGTATCATGTGCAAAGATAAATGATGGGTGTCTGAAGAGTGCTAAAAGTAAGCACTTCTTCATATATAACACAATTAAATTGAAGAATTCATTGTCCAAGAGATAGTGATGTGTTCCAGTTTGAAGGGGATTAGTTAAGTCCATGGAGGAAGGGCCATCAATGGCTTCTAATCAATACAGCTACATATCGCTTCCTGCATCAATGGCAGTATACCTCACTGTTGGGAAATGTGGCAGGGGGTGAAGTTGCACTCCTTCTCTTCCAGTGGTGGTGTGTAACCAACTGACTGGCCACCGTGTGAACAGAAAGTTGCACTAGATAAGACTTTCAACTTAGTCTGATTGCACTTGTGTTTTTATGCTTAATTTGCACTAAACCACTTTGAAATGCATTGTTTTACAAACTTCAGTAAAAAAAATTCTTACACCAGATAGTCTTGGTAACTTAAGAAAACTGTTATATGGGTTGGTCTCTTAGTACAATATTTGTTCAATCATTTCAGGAATAAGTTTGTTGAATGAATGAAAAGCATGAAATGTTTGACATAGTGGTCATTCACATATGAAGGGGGCAAGCACAGTTTGGAATGGCATGAGTGAGGATGACAGAGGCAGATAGGGACCGAGGATTGGAAAGGACAGTTAGAAAAACAAAATCTGTGGACAACAATTCTATAAAAAGTGATACGATTAATACTGATTACAGGCAGTTCCTAAGTTACAAAAATGATAGGTTCTATAGGTTTGTTCTTAAGTTGAATTTGTATGTAAGCTGGAACAGACCAATTTTTAAGTGTAACTCCAGCTAAACACGCGCGCGCGCATGCAAAAACTTTGGGTAGCATAGGGAAGGGTTAACATCCTTGTGTTTGTTTTGCTGAATATATACATATATACATATGTAGTTGTTTACTTAAAATATAACTGGCCAATCAAATATTTTTGTGCTGGGTGATAATGAGTAATCATGTCTCAAGTATGTAACCTCTGGAGGCAGAATAATATAAACTTAGTTACTTGTGAAACATCACATCTACAGTATGGTCACTACTACAGGAGATACACAAGTAAAACTCAACAGTCAAAAGAACTACAATAGACCTTGAGCACTAGTAATATTGCTAATTAGATTTGTGTAAAGATAAGGTATGAACCAAACAGAAAAAAGAATGTAGGCATTTGTGTCTGCTCAAAGTGGTGAGCATGAAGTCAATTGCAAGTCCTGAGATGAAGAGGTTTAAGTTAAAAGTACTAGCTTCTGAGAACCAGAATGGTGTAGTGGTTTCAGTGTTAGATTAGGATTCTGGGAGGCCAGGGTCTGAATCCTACTTAGCTATAGAAACCCACTGGGTGACTTTGAACAAATCCCATTTTTTCACCCTGAGAGGATGACAAAGACCCCTCCCCCAACAAATCTTGACCGAAAAACCCCACAAGAGATTCACCTTATGGTCCCCATAAGCCACAAGTTATTTGAAGACATACAAGAGCCACTGGAGAAAGGCAAGTGGACACCATACACAATTTCAATCAAGTTTGTTCTAACTAATGACTTGCATGTATACAATAGCTACCCTAAATAATGTCTACTGTCATATAAACTAAAAATGACAATTTCAAGGAAATCTACAAGAAGCAAGGATATAAAGAAGTCTTGCTAAATTCTTCCATCCGTTAAGATAGGGGGTAAATTGGTTAAATTAAGGATTACTAGTCTCTAGTCCGTGGATGAAATTGATAATTTTTCCACCAAGATGCAACATTCATCTGTAGAGAACTACCATGATTTTGCATTGTAAAGCAAAGTATACTACATTATCATAGGGAACACAGAGAACTACCTGGTTTATCAAAAAAATTCAAACAATACATCCATTGTATTTAATTTTTAAAAAGTGCACGCAGCAAGACATAGAGAGCAACCCCTCTATCAAGACCTACAAAAATATATGGTTTCTAAAATGCTAATGTCCTTTCTTTTTAATTGATCTAGTTTTTGTGATGATTTGATTTCTGCATTTGTTTATTTTTCATTCTAGATATTCCATTCAAATATTGACTGTGTCTACAATAATCTTCTTGCTGTACAGAATGTATAGTACAGCACTATATTTGTAAAGTGGTTAAATTATAACATTAAGTATGCATCCTTTATTAATATTAAAAACTACAAGACCTGTGAATACCTAGGTTATGCAAACAAAGCTAGATGTGTTTCTGCTAATAGTTAAAAACTGTGGAAGAGATGTAATGATATTTTACTTACATGAACTTCTGGGTGAAGCTTGATGAGGAATCGTTTTCTCTTGAAGCTTATCTTTCTTATTTTGGACCAGTTAAAAGTATTGATTTTTGTATTACCCTATATTAAAGGCAATATGAAACAACTGAAGAAGGAATGTACTAATGTGCATATGTAAACAGAATAAAAGTATTGATAACTGATGTTCAACACCCTTATGATGTATTCAAAAGGATTAACAAAATAGATAAGTTAAAAGCTGAATTATCAAAAATGCCTAGAAGTTTCTGGTTTTACATTTATTTATTTTATTTATTTGCCGTATTTATACCCCACCCTTATCACCCCGAAGGGGACTCAGAGCAGCTTACAAACAGACATACGGCAAATATTCAATACTGATTATTCAATTAACAAGGGCAGACAACACAAACAGAGGTAAAGTCAGCTTCTCAAATGCCAAGAAATCATGATGATAAGAGTTCTGAACAGAAGATAATTTCTGTAGTTCAGCAATTATTCTGTGCAAAAGTCATACAAGGTGATTTAGAACAACCTGTACTATCTCACTTACAGGCTTAGATCTCTCATCCAAACTCTACTTCTACATGTAGTATGTGCTGGTAGCTAACAATCCACTACTCTGCTGCAGATTTAATTTCATGATAGAGCACACTTAGATGTTCAGCCAATATCACTATGTAACATGATTTTTGTTCCTGTGTTCTAAATGTCATTTCCTAATTGGTTCCATCATAAAAACGTGGGAAAGGTTTATTAAACTGCAAAAACTTTGTTTTTGCGGGACAGCCTGCAGCACATTTTGCTAGTTTTTCAATGAATATTTCATATAGTCTCAACCAATTCAACACAGTTTGTGGCAGCCACAAAAATGAAGTTTCTGGAGTATAACAATTATGTAGTGATGACTACAAAATGACAGCAAATGAAGGAACACTACCAATGTTATGAGTGACTGACTCTTTCCTGGTCTTTATTCTGCAGAGTAATGAACTCGACGTCTATCAAATTTCAATTACCACTATATTTCCCCACCATACCAGATACTCTAACATTGCTTTTTGGCCTTATCAGGAAGTGGGGAGAGAATATTAAAGGATCCACATTTGAAATGGCACCCCAGAGCCATTAAGACTTCCTACTATGACTGATGCCACTCCACAAGTTAGAGATTGCTGCAGCACTGAGAGTTCAAACCATTCATACAGATATTAGACCTAGATCAGTTATATGGTTACTCAGACTTCTGAGATAAATATAAAGTTCTGTTGCCATAACTACCAAAAGTTTATCATGTTAAAGAATTATTTCTTACCTGGAATACCAGGACACCCGTGTGTGAAACAGCCAAATTAATCTTTGTCCCCTCACGGTCAGATGCCAGGTGAAACCTAATGCCATACATCTCTAACTTCCGAGCTATTTCAAGTACTTGGAAATCTGATTCAGCAGGAGTTTGGCCACTATAGTAATCAAAATAAAAACAAAGGAATTATTAGTTAATTAGTGATATTTTTGCAAAATAGGAAATTTAAGGAAATTTCTGACATAATGATTCAATAAGCCACCACTGAATAGCACAGCAAATTAAACACTGCATCAGAGAAAAGGAGAAAGCCTTCACAATATTATAAATAAATATGTGCAAATGGTAAAGCACAAGGCAATCTATTCATTTACTGATACTCCACCCTTCGCTCAAAATGGGTTTCAAGCAAGAAATAGCAATTATAACAAACCTCAAACTCAGACATTCACCCACACAATTCAGAAACTCATGGTTGATAAATTGTGAAAGTGTGCTTTCTTTGGATTCTCCAGTCATACCACAACTGGAGTTGTGATCAAATGCTCCTTTTGACAGGCAGAGAGGGGACAAAAGTTGCTGAACCAGCTTCTACTTCTGTTCATTGATAGAGCCAGGTTGGCCATCACTATGGTCACAATGAAGGAAGTTAAAGGTCCCATGATACTTGGGTCTCCTGGTTCTTGAAAGAAGCCCTCAATCCACTCTCAAGAATAATTTATAGTGAAGTCATAATGAGATTCAAATCCAGTAGTAATTGCTATTTACAAGTGATGCATTCTTAATTTGCTCACTCTGGTCTGGAAACATTTTACATTTCCTTTTACAATTTTAAAAACAAATACTATACTCTACAATTCTGTAAAAGTTGTTACATTAGCAGCTATTCTCTGAAAAAATGAGGCTAAAGTGTAAGATGAGGGAAGACCCAAAAAGGTCTTATTGACTCCTTAAAAACAAATAGAACACAGTAGCAAAAAAATGATTACATTCACATATATAGATAAAATTGTTGTTGGTAGCTCCAGAGAGATTCATTTATCACAGAGGCTGGAAAGGTTCTGTTCATGAAGAGAAACAAGAGGTTTCCTTGGCACGCTGAGCAGTTACAGCTGTGGTGGTGATTGTGAGGTCTGGGAGGTAAACTGACCTCTGTCTGGATGACAAAGACTGCAACCCAACTTTGTGGTTTGTATGCATTAGGTTGCCCTGTAATATGTTAGGTAACATTCAGTAACAGCTCAGTAATGCAGTTTTCAAAAGATCCGTTGCATGCAGTCTCTCTGACAGTTTTCTGCCTGCCTTGGCACCCATTGTAAATACTTTTACAGATTGTTTACTAATTTGAAATGGGATGAAGAATTTGATTTCATCTTCTATCATATTCACCAGTTAGTTTAAAAGTGAAAACAAAAATATTCAATTTCTTCTCTCTGGCTTGCAAAATGGAAGAGGGGAACAAACTGGATATAAATGGCTAACCACATATGAGCTGCCAAAATATGTAGCCATAAACATATTTTCCTAAGCTGCATTATTATTTATTGACATTTCCAACCTATTTTTGTGACAAAAAGAATTCAGTACACAATGCCTGCCAAACAACTATGTGGTTTTAATTAAATTGCCTTGAATCTTCAAAAGATACAGTCTTTTTGAAGTGGGGAGCAAAGCAGGAATTATTCCAGTAGATTCACACTATGCAAACAAATGTTTACAAGCATAAAGCAGTTTCGGAGTAATTATCTTCAGATGTTTTCAGTTGCCTAATCCTCACAGACTGGCCTGAAAACAATCTGGTCTAATTTCGTTATCCGTTAAGTAGATAAATCTGCTTAGCCATCCTACTTCCAGTCCATTGACATTTAGAGAATTTTCATGAGAAGAAATATATTTCAGCAAAAGATTTCAACAGATCAAAAACGTGTTTTTAAAAATAATTTTGTTCTTGTAGAAAAAAATATTTGAACATTACTGCAATAATCTATCAAACAGGTGGCAGATATCTTGAGAACAGAAGAGTCAACTACTGCAGTCATTTTCCTATTCGTAATTTGAAAAAGTAGAAAAACACATTATAAAACACACAAGTGAGCAGAACAGAATTTCTCCATAGGCATTCCTAGAGGTTCATGCATACTACTACAGAATAACAATGCAACTTCCATGTTTGGCAATAATGAAGTCAGCGGGGCCATGAATGATGTACCATTAGAGAAAATGGGTGAGTAGTTTAATTGCTGGTGAGCTTTTTATTTTTAATGCCCTCTCCCAGGTTTGTTTTTCCCTTGTTGAGAAAAGCTTCTTTTTCGAAAGAGGTTTTTATTATATCCAAAGAATACACAACATTCTCAACATCACTGATATTGACTGTAAGCTGCTCCAAGTCCATTTTTGGGAGATGGGGTGGGATATAAATAATTTTATTTATTTATTTATTATTGTTTTGCATATGATTTATTTCCAATTTAACAAACAAGTTAGGGTTAGGGTCTTTTTTACTACATCACTTAACATTATATTTGTATGTATTTCTTTTTCCCAAGGCTCAGAATGGCAGCAAAGTGCACTGATATTAAATACTAACTGTTAAACCCAACCAATATGGCGTGAAAAGCATCTTCTTTATCTTGCCCGAGTCTCTTAAATATATTATGCCATTATGACCTGCATATCATGTTTAGATATTTTTAAAAAAGATTTGTACACAATGGAAAATTTGACAAAATCCCAAAGTCTGTCGAATATCACTGTTAAAAAAAGAAGCATGTTGAAAATGTTAACAATAGTACTCAATTGAATGTCTATGTCAGATAAATCAGATGATGTTTAAATTATAAATGTTAAACTGTGTACTAATAGTTTTAAATGTATTGCTCTTATATGTTGTTTAAAATGATGCTTTAACTAGTTTATGTGTTATGTGTTTTTAACTAATAGTTTGTTTTGTATTTTAAATGATGCTGTTCCTCACCTTGATCCATGGGGAAAGGCGGGCAAGAAAGATGATGATGATGATGATACAGTAATACACATTTGATACATAGACTATTTTCTCATATATTTCTTATTGTCCAAATAAGTTATAAGAAATAGAGAAAAATAAAAAAAACCCCTCAAAAATAGAGTAATGCAGGAAGAATATTGACTGAACTTAAAATTCATACTTAGACAAGCAACTACTAATAGTCAACTAACTATTCTTTATGAAATCCACATACTATTCATGAGATACTGTGGATCATCTCCAGGTTTTAGACTAATTTGAAACCTTTCCATAAGTCTTAAGTTCAGACTTCTGAAAGAATAGCATTTCAGGGTGGGTGTCGGCCTATCCACTTTCATACTGGATTTGTATGCATTCAGCATGTAGCCCCTGGCAAAGTATTCCTGAGAAAGTGTAACCTTCAGTAAAGAAAAAGGTTATCTACTCCTGCAATGAGTACACCTGTGAACAAGTGAGCAGCTGCTGAAAAATTTCAAAATAAGGTGAGGACGAATCAGAAGAGTCATACTTTTAATAACTGAAGGCATGAAGCTTTTAATTCTTGAAATATCTGGTTTCTTATCAGAATGTATTTGGAAAGTACCATATTTTCCGGCGTAAAAGACAACTGGGCGTATAAGACGACCCACAATGTTTCAATTTAAATTATAGCGTTTAGGATATACTCCGCCTATAAGACTACTCATCTTGCCAGCCCCTGTACTTTCTTTATATTTACATCTCCCAAGACTGGATAGCACTGAACCACAGCATAGAAAGTGGTGTCAAACGGCATGAATTCTACAGAATTTTCCTTCTGTGTTTTGTACCACTCTTCCCACCAGAGGTCTTGCTGGCTGAGGCCTCTGGGGAGCTGTAGTTATTCTCAGGTGGAAGAGGCCCCTTACAGCCTGTTGCTCTGGGCCCAAAAAAAGAGAGTGAGAGAGAGAGGATGCAGGTTCCCCTTTCCTTTCTTTATTCACGAGTGAGGCGGAGTTATCTCAGCAGCATGTCCTTGGTCAACACACGTGCCAAGGGAAGCCAGGGGGAAACAGCCTTCGCTCCTCTCCTACATACAGTCTCCCTGTCTCACCAAAAAATCTCATTTTCCAAAGGCTGGCGGGAAAAGATGGATGGACAGAGGGTGCATGCGGTCAGCCTCCAAATCTGGCAAAGTTTCCCTTAAAGGGGCAGGGCGAGGAAAGGCAGAGATGATTGGTTGGAAAGCAGCGTAAGCATGGCCCGTTTAAATATTGTTTGTGGGTGAAGAGATGAGGTGGTTTTGTTTGAGTATTCTTCCGGGGCTTGTGCGACCGGCACTGAGAAAAGTAGCTTGCCAAAGAGGAGATGTCGCTTCCTTTGGGAAAGTTTCAGAGAGGAAACCCTAATGCCATCAATACTGACAGACAATGCAGTGAGAAACCGCATTATATGATCAGTGTAGACTCATATAATGTAGCTGCTACGCCCCTCGGCTCCCTAGGCTCCCGCTTTCAGCCTCCCCAAGGGACTCCTCCATTCCATGCCTGTTTCGGTTGACAGTGCGGCGGCGACACAAGGCTGGGAGCCACTAGGCAATGAGGAAGAGAAGCCTGAGTATATCCCAACCTTTACACCTAACATATAAGACAACCCCTGACTTCTGAGAGGATTTTTCCGGATTAAAAAGTTGTCTAATAGGCTGGAAAACACGGTACATTAACTGCTGTGTTTATTATCCCACATTTGTTTAGTATAGAAGCAGATATTTATTTATTTGCTGTATTTATATCTGGCCTTTCTCACCCCAAAGGGGATTCAGAGTGGCCTTACAAAAGGCAACAATTCAATGCCATAACAAACAAATGCAAGTAAGCATATACATTAAAACATAAATTTAAAAGTCATATAAGCATTAAAACACATTATTAAAACCATGCAATCCAGAATCACAGTCAAAGTCAAAAAGCTAATCCACCTCAAATTCACTTGTGGTTACAAAACTGGGTTGCACACATTTGATGGATGGGGAGTCTAAGTAAGATATAAGTGTGAACCACAGAAACCAGAAAGACTATCTTATCATTAAAATGATATATGATGCAGAAATTTCCTTTCACTTCAGTCTGTTAAAAATCAAGGATTCAACATGTATTGATAACATCTTCCTTGCAGCATTGGTGTCATTTTTCCAAAATGTATAAGAATGTACTGAATAACAGAAACAGAGTATTATTTTTCACTTACATGTGTTTCCTGTGAAATTCAAGTATTTTTCCTTGCAATCTATCTTGGTTTGGGAAATATTGATTATTTTTAAGGTGTTCTCGGTCCCCTGATTCATCAAAGTCTCCAATCTCCGCTGTGGTAGAAGAGAAATATATAAAAGAAACTGTTCCTTAAAACTGCAATTGCATAGGTTCAGCAAATTTTTGAAGGCACTTTCATTTATGAGATTAGTTACTCAGATCAACCAACATTCATTCTTTGGCTTTTCTTAAAAAATATGACTATTACAGTCATTTTGAATGTTTGTCAGACAATTAGGTACATTCTGTTTAAGCCTATGTTATGAGATGCCTTGTGCTTCATACAGTAACCTTTTGAGACAAATGTCAGAAAGGTTTTTAATATTATGCAAATAATTTGGGTTTCAATGTGATTCCTATTTGTTCACAACTCCATGCAAGCACTAGTCTACCGACTTTTCTAATCACTCTCACTGACAGTGCTCTTAAAAGAAGAGAGGAGAGCTACAACTCAGTAGCTGAGTACATGCATTGCATTCCAAAGGTCTGAGCTTCAATACCTGGCCTCTTCAAATAGAAAAAAGGAAAGAATCCTTCCTGAAAAACTGGGAAAATGTTGTCGGTGTTCTGTCAACAATTATCTGATTCATTAAAAAGTAAGTTGCTGTTATGAGTTTCACTACATACAAATTTTTATGGGTAGCTATGATTGAATTTTATAACACATGGTTGTTTGCCATGAAATAAACAAGAGAAATGGGGACAGAGTTCCTAGTGCTGCCCACAATCTGGCTGATAATAAAATGCTGATTAATCATCCAGGAAATGCACCCATAGCTGTCAATTCAATGTGGTAGAAATCATGCACTATGAGAACTGGCTTAGGGAGCAGGGTATGTTAACCCTGAAGAAAAGAATGTTAAAAGGTGACATAATAGCTATATTTAAATATCTGAAGCACCTCATATTGAAGGTGGGAAAGACTTGGCTTATGCTGCTCTAGAGACTAGAACACGGAGCAATGAATTTAAACTATAGAAATTCCACTTAAACATTAGGAACAACTGCCTGAGAGCTATCTGACAGTGGATATGCTTTCGTGTGGTGGAATCTTCCTCTTTGGAGGTTTTTAAACAAAGGCTTCTTTTGTGAATTCCCTGCATGTTTATTCGACTTTTATTATTCTATTCTATATTTAAATATTTGGAGGGATGTCATGTAGAAATTGCTGCTCCAGAAATTGAAATATAAATCAATGGATTCAATTTCTAAAAAAAGATATTCCACCTAAACATTAGGAAGAAGTTCTTGGCTGCAAGATCTGTTTAACAGTAGAATAGATTGGCATTGGAAAGTGGGGTGCTCTTGTTATTCAGAGGCCTTTAAATGGGTTCAATGGGCATTTTTCAAGAACACTTTAGTTGCGTATTCCTGCAAGGCAGGGGGTTGGATTAGATTGCTGTTACAGTCCTTTTCAACTCTTTTAAGATTCTATGAAGTTGCCCAAAAGATCCTGAATGGCAATAAGGATGATAAAGAGGCAAAGAGAACAAACATAGGAGTGAACAGTGAAATTACAGCATTCTTTAAATACTTCAAGCGCCATCACAGAAATGTGGGGCAAGGCTGTTCTCTGTTGTCTCAAAGGAAAGAACCAGAGCTAATGATCTTAAATACAGGAGGATGGATCTTGATTGAACATCAGAAGAAAAAAAACATCTAGACAGTGAGAATGGTTTGGCAATGTAGCAAGTTGCCTGGAGAGATGGCAAGAGTCTTCAATTTTCATGACATGAAGGAATTCTGACACAAGCATAGGCACAACTGCAGATGTTCCCTATAGCATCATGATCCTGAGCTATTTAGCGCTTTAAAGGTTAAAACCAATACTCTGAATTGGGTTCAGAAGCTTACTGGTAACTGTGCAGCTGACACAGAATTAGTTACTTTTTCAGATTTCCTTGTCAGTATTAACATCTAGACATCTATATTTCATATTAGATGCAACTTCCAAACAGTCCTCAGAGGTAGTACCAAGGAAAGTGCATTTTTAAAGTGTAATTCCAGCCAAAAAATTATAATTTAAAAATTTGGATAGCACAAGGAAAGGTTAACATCCCTGTTCTGTTTGTTTTTCTGTCTGTACCACTGTTCAGATGATTTCACCTCATTTTCTGAGTCAGTGATAATAGGATTTTGAAAAATTTGACTTGCTGTGGAAACAAGGATTGGTGATAAAGCTTCAATGGAGGTAGAGTTCTCTCACTTTCTGTTGTCTCACCCCCATTCTTAACTATGAATAGTTTGCAAATCAGGTGTTTGTAACTCAGGGACTGCCTGTACTAATGAGAAGTAATGTTACATTCCCATAGTCCACGCTTGATACTAACATTGCAGAAGGTGAGATATGAGAAGTGCTGCTGTGTTATCATTGCAGGTAAGGTGTTCCTCTGCTAGATCCCTCTTGATTTGCAATGCAAATAGATACCTAAAAAAGAAGAATCAATAGCATAATGTCTTGTGTGGCAAACAAACCATTCCAGCAAAAAAAAAAAAAAGAGTGTAAACATTAGCTGCAGCCAAGGTCAGCAACAGTACATGATTAGAAGTGGTTTATGCAATACACTATGGCTATGTATCTATGCAGTGATGGCATTGTTTCCGGTTGACTCACAATTAATAACCAAGAGAAAGAGTATATCACTATTATCAACCTAGAAGTTGCTGTTCAGTGACACACACCTACTGTCGTTACATCCTCTCACTGGCTTTTGCTGGCCAACATATCTGGCAGGAACAGTAACACTCCTGGAGATAATTCAACCTCATCAAGTCATACAACAGTGTTATGTATAGGGATGGTGAGCTTTAAACCAAAAGTGGCTAGTAGCTAGAATTGAACAGTTAGAGGAACAAAGGTTCCCTATTCTTACAAGTTTAGACTCCATCCTATACAGAACGCGCCATGGAACACATAGTCCAAATTCTTTACCAAACATAACAGAACACACACACTCCTTTATCTTCCTTGCCTTGGCGGAAACTATGGAAGAGGTTCTTTTCTTCCAAAAAAGAAAAGAAGCTCCCATAGATCTTGAATGCATTCACAGAAGTCATTTAGAAGTACAAAGAAAAAACCCTTAGAAAACAAGAGAAAGCCAGTAAGTAAAGCTGGGTACAAAAATTGACATGGATTGAAATTAATTAACAACATAGTATGTGCAGGTGCAGTGAAGCAAAGAATACTAGAAATACAAAGCATGACTTGGCAGAAAATCTAGTACTAGCAGTTTGATGGTACAAAGATCTGCTCAAGAATGTTTCAGTGAATCTCAGGAAGAACACTGAAGAAATATTTCCTGCTTATAACATGCATAGGAAAACATTGGTCTAACAAGATAGACTGGGTTTGAAAGACAAAACTTAGATAAACCATCCTAGAACTTGTGGGGCACTATTCCATGAACTGACGTAACAGAGTAACACATAAACTTGTACTTTTCTATCACATAGTGCTACTTTCGGGGGGGGGGGAGAGGCATTATCAGCTAAATCTTATGTATGCTGACTTGGAAGTAAGTATTATCATGTCCAAACCATGAACACAGAAAGTGATAACATGCATTTTCTTCTCAAGGAAGCTACATTACCTAATCAACCCACCCTTCTGAAATAGACACTTTTGACCAATTTTGTGAAATGTAAATTCAATTTGTACACACATGAAAAATCTTTTCCATTACCAAATTAGGTTAGGAAAAACCCCAATGTTACTGAAACCAAAACAAAACTACACTCAAACATCACCATGAGGTCCTAATTTCTCAGGTGTTAATTCAAAAACCCACACCCCCTACTCAACAGTTCCAGAGAAAATCATTTAGATATTAACAAGTATTCTTTACCTGGTATATTCCTCTTGCAATTGACCAGGATCAGGAGGAAAGAACTTTACAGCGAGACGAAGCATTGCATTCTTTGGTCCTATGGAAAAGTCAGTATATTTTATTATCTTTTACCTTCACATTTGGAATACTCAAATTGAATTATTACTGTTAAAATTCAAAAAGGTCACGAGAATTAGCTATTTATGTTGTCAATAAGTTGCTTTTGAGCAAATGTTTCAATATGGAACTGGCTGCAATTTCAAGTCTTCCCAAAACTTTGTACATATTGCTGCTATAGGATAAGCTTTACAGGTGATAAACTGATGAAGCATCTGGTTTACCACAGATGAAAGCTATCAATCAGCTTTAGCAAATGGGCTCTAGAATCTCTCCACAGCAAGTGTTCTTATTTCTGTTAGTATGAGCAATTGTCAACAGTTAAGAGGCCGCAATGACCCTCCAGAAGATCTTGGAGAGCTGTTGCTTGCTTCACACACCGCTACATTTTAAAGGTTTCACCTAAATGGCCTTCAATGTCTCCTGGGCTGTTTTCCTGTTTTAAAAATGCTTCTTCTGAGCTTAAAAGGGTTGAATTGGAGCCCCAAATCCTGGTGAGATTGCCCCTGCAACCTCTAAAGGATGTTTTAGCTAGGAGCCGGGGGGGTATTGTAGAATGGTCCTTGGGACTGTTTTTAGCACATCAAATTTTAAAAGGTACTCACAAGGAAGACAAGAACAAAAACAAGTAACATTTTTAGAAGGCACCTAAGAGCATGAATGTGACTTTATAAAACTCATGATACATTTTAAGTCTGAAAAGATATGCTGATCTATGAAATATGTTGATGCTGTATTTATTTTATTTTTACAGCTTATATTTAAATGTTATTTTCAATTTTGTTGTGATGTAACACGCTAACCCCAAACATGGGTATGAATGTTGAATTAACCAGTGGAAATTTCATCTGCAAGCTACCCTAAATAACTGCAAGCTTTGCTTTGCTTTTCCAGGTGTGGAAATAACACCCTCAGCTACTGATTAAACTACTCACAACAAGACTGCTGTCATGCTTATTGAGCCACCTACCTTCAAGTTTTTAAAAAATACCCTCCGTTATTAAGAGCACTAAATAGCTGTATTGTCCATTTTTACTTTAATTTTTAAAAGAAATTCATTTGAGAAAGATATTATATGTACTTACTTCGTATTTGTTTAATGGTAGGTTTCATGGGCTCAAGCCAAATCTGAAGGAAAGGAAAGAAAAATAATTAGTTAAACTGACAGCAAAAGAAAATCAGACTTTACTTGTTTTGAAAGCAGTATTTCCTCTAATTAGTGGTTTTAACCAGAATCTTAGCTAAACAGTAAGTCATTTAATGCAATGTGATATCATTTGAATTGCCTTGGCTCATTGCTAGGGAATCCTGGAAGTTGTCATTTTATGAGGCCCTAGGTCTCTTTGGAAGGGAAGGTTAAAGACTCTGTAGAACCACAGCTCCCACGATTCCATAGCAATGAGCCAAGGCAGTTAAAGTGGGCTCAAACCACATTAATTCTACAGTGTAGATGCACCCTGGGGAAAAAAAACTATCTATATAAACTTGGGTGCCATAGAATCCATGGAGCAAGGAAACTATGGACTATCTCTGGGAATGTCAAACAAGAGACTGTATGAAATCTACCATGACAGTTAGAATACAGGGAATTCAAATAGCAAAAATAAATAAATAAATAAATATTGGGACCCTTTCCAATGCATATATTAGTTGCATATTTACATGCACACATCACAAATAACTTCATAGGCTTTTTCACCCATTAAGAAACCAACTGACGTATCACCAGTCATATAAATCTCTGCTATAAACCTTGAAAAATAAGTACTATGAATTGAAAGCTATCATATGTACATTGTAAATAGCTATACCTAAATGTGAACATTCTGCCATTAAATCAAGTACATTGTGCACATTTATATAACAATCTCTTTACAAGATTTCTTAAAACCCTACAATCTTTAAACTTTTGGTTTGGAAGATCTTGGACTGGAAGCAAATCTAACAGATTTGTATATTAAGAAATATACAGGTTTTAAATCTCCTTCACCAAAAACAGAAGGAACAAAAAGAAGCATTCACAGCAGTTTTGAGAGGTTATGCATTACAGAACTACAGTAAAGTTGCCATTGTATAACTTCTTTAGCTCAGAATGTAAGGTTTTTTTGGCAGAGTAAATGATATATAGATGACTAATAATAATTTATCCATTCTTTCAGCTCAAAGTAGGGACCAACATAGTCAAACACATCTATAAAATCACATGTTAAAAACACACTGTAGATAAATCACAATCATAAAAAGCATATCTTTAAACATACAAGTATTAAAATACATGAGACTAAAGTTAAAACACCATAAACATAGAATGCCATTTAAAAGTCATAGTTAAAGCTAACTGGGTAGGTTCTGACAGCTCATCTTCTGGTAGGTCATTCCACAGTCTTGGGTGGCTGATGAAAAGGATATCTGAGTGACAGTTGCCTGTTGAGTTCTGACTGGTTGGAGTAGCTACTTTCCAGAGAACCTAAGTGTCCGGGGAGGATTGTACGGGAGAGTGATCCTTTAGGTGACCTGGACCAAAACCATGTAGTGCTTTAAAGGTGAAAACCAAAACTTTGTATTTTGCCTGGAAACAAACTGGCAGCCAATGGAGTGACTTTAGTACTGAAGTAATAAGCTCACTCTTAGATGTTTCTCTAACTAGTCTGGATGCCAAGTTTTGACCTAGTGGGAGTTTTCGAACTTGGTACGAAGGTAGCCCAATGTAAAGTGCATTGCAGAAGTCCAACCTTGAGGTTACCAGCATGCACACATCTTTTTTAGGTCCTCCAATTCTAGGAGGGGTGCAGCTGGCATATCAGCCAAAGCTGGTAGTAAGCACTCTTGACCATTACATCCACTTGGACTGACATTTCAGAAGACAGATCCAGAAGAGCTCGGAAGCTGCAAACATAGTCCTTCAGGAAAAGTGTAACCTCAACCAGAACTTGTTGAAACAACTCCATCCCTAGGAGTTGTTTCAGGGATGTTTCAAGCATTGATTCAGGGGACATGCTATCCTTAGCTGAGGTTGTTGTGGAAGACATGGAGAAATATATTTGGGTGTCATCATGTACTGATAACATCCAGCCCCATGACTCCAGATTATTTCTCCTAGCAGTTTCATATAAATGTTTAAAAACATTGTAAATAGAATAGTCCCTTGTGGGATGCCATATAACAGCTCCTTTTTTGAGGAGCACCTATCCCCAAGCATCTGAAACTTGCCTGAGATATGACTGGAACCACTGCATCAGAGTGCCTCCGATCCCCCCCCCCCCAATATTCCAGAAGGATACCATGGTTGATCGTATTGAAAGCTGTTGAGAGGTCTAGAAGCACCAACAGGGACACACATCCCTTGTCAGTGTTAAGATGGAGCTCATTCACTAAGGGGACCATAGCAGTCTCAACCCCATACCCTGCTTTTAAGCAGATTTGAAATGAGTCAAGGAAGTGTGTATCATCCAAGACTACCTGGACTTGGACGGCAATTGCTTTCTCAACCATCCTGCCCCCAAAAAGAAGGTTAAAGACTGGTCTATAGTTATGAGGATCCAAGGATCAAGGGAGGTCTTTTTCAGCAGTGGTCTAACTACTACTTCTTTTAAACAGAAGGAGAAATTCCCTTCCCCAAAAGATGCACTGATATTTGTTGTATTTGAATCAAAGTAGTATTTGAATCATAGTTGTTGTACGAGTCAAAGTTCTTCTAAAACACAAATTGAAAGGAAATGCATTTAAAAACTTTAACAGTAAGTTACATACCCAATATGACTGCATATTCTGGAACTCAATTCCAAAGTAGTCAGACTCAACCAAATTCAAACGATTAAATACTTCTGTCAGCAGTTTTTGGCCATAACTTTTTGACTGGGAAAACGAAAATAAATAAAAATGTGGGGTACAGTTTGTCAGGACTCTGGAACAAAACATATTAACTCCTGAAAAGCAATGACTGATGCTAGTATTAAAGTTTCATCATGAAATAAAGAAAAATTCCAAACAGTTCACACCAGTTAAAACTATGTCAGTGAAATATAACAAACAATACAATGTATCATTTACATCATTTAGATTTGTTGTGTTCCTTGGCTTTCCAAAGATCAATTGCTTCTTCTACCTGTATTTCACCAAGTGTGCAGTTACATATATTGGTGTGCACATGTTTAAGGCCTATTTCAGGAAGTTTCTATGGTATAGATTACTAACTACTCAAGACCAAATCTTGACCATGTTCATAGTAACTTCCTAATGCAGTGATTTTCAATCTGGAGTCCAGGAATCCCTGGGGGGGGGGGGGGGCAATATCATCACAGGAGATCCACAAAGGATTGAATAAATGTTACAATTTTTTTGCAGTTAAATCTGCCGCCACCTTGGGGTCGTTTGGCAGCTGACAGACAGTGCTTACCAAGCCCAGAGCACATTGATAGAGGATACCCAAAGCCAGTTGTCTACCATCAATTGCTTTGCGATTGGCTATCCAGGAAGGAGGAAGAACAGAGCAACTAAAAGACAGTGAGAAACACAGTCTTCTAAATGCTTTTGGATTCAAATCCCAAGATTCCCGATCATTGGTCAAGGCAGCAGAGGCTCCTGCGATTTGAAGTTCAAAACAGCTGGAGGACTAGTGTTTGGGAATCACTGATCAAGACTGTAAAATTAATGTAGTCTGACTCCATTTGAATTGCCATGGCTCAATGCTTCCACAATGCTATCATGGGAGTTATCATTTTAGATTATCTTTATCTTTCTCTGCCAAAGAAGGTGGTTGCCTCACCAAACTCCAAACCCCAAGAACCCATCGCATTGAGCCATGGCACTTAAAGTGATGTCAAACTGCATTAATTCTACAGTGCAGAAGTGCCCTGAGATTCTTGTTATTATTTGCCACCAAGGAGGCTTTAATCCAGAAACCCATTAGGTGAATACAGGGAACTGGATGGTGCCTGGAGGTAGAAACCTTTCCCAAGTTATATCTTTTCCCACTGCCATATAATGAGATTCTTTCTATAAGCAACTTTGACTATTTTGTAGAAAAAGTGAAAGCAGAGTATAATAATAATAATAAAAATAATTTCTTCATGAAATGGGAGATAAAGCCTATCTGTTTATACAAGAAAATGGGACTGTCCGTTTCTGTCTGCAAAGAAAAGAACAGGATTATTGCTATGCCGAGAAAGGTATAGTGTAGCAATCTCCTTCAGCACTAGAGAAAGTAATCTTCCTTTGCTGAGCACTGGAAGGAGGCTATCTATAATTATAGGAGAGGAACCCCCAGTCATCTCTAATTAGTGGAAGAAGATAAAAATGGGCTTTTTCTACTATTGCTCGGCATGTGCAATCCATGGTTCTAAAGTACTTACAAAACGAGAGGGCGCTGGTGCTTTGTTTCTAAAGTGTTTCTAAAGTTTTGGTGAGGAAAATTTCAGAATTGTAACAAAACTTTCAAAATTTCATTATAAATGGCAGTTCCTAATTGGTTCTGTCATAAAAACATGGCAAGTTTATTACACTGAAAAAAACTTTGTTTTTTATGCAAGGGACATCGTCCTATAGCACATTTTGGTTTCTTGAGTCTCCACCAATTTAACAAAGTTTCTGCCTCAGAAATAAAGTTTCTGTACTAAAGACCACACAATGAAACAGGAAACAACACTTTCAAACCAGGAACAGATTTTCTTTATTATTAAAATTTAAAAAATGTTTTATAAAAACTGAAAATTCGCCAAAAATCAGTGGATAAGTCAAACATTCTTAAATTTGGTGAGTTAACAGTGGTGAAATTTTGAAAGTTTTATTAGAGTTCTAAAATTTTCACCACCAAAACTTTAGAAACATTTTAGAAACAAAGCACCAGCACCCCCTAATTTTGTAAGCACTTTAAAACCATTTAGAACCAAGGGTCACACGTGTCTAGTTGATACAATAGGCTGCTCTTCCCTAGTGTTGGAAGAAAAGTGAGGGTCTGGGTGAGAACTTCCCTGGATTGGATTGTGTCCACATGCTCTAGACTCCCCATTATTGTTGTACAACTAGGGCTTAATTGGACATTAAGCTCCTCAACTAATGTGCAACTAAGGGAGCATGGCTCCTACTTTTCAACTAATTTTAAAATCACTATAATCCTCTACTTATAAAAACAGAAAACAAAAGTAGAAAACAGGCGTAACAGAACCTACAACATGTTAGAAACAATAAGTCACTGATTGAATTGGAAGATTACTTATCAGAGGAAAGGTTGCTGCCATGAAGCCAGAAAATCAAGCATGGTTCTTTCAAAAAAGACACTTGGGCTCAGAAATCCAACTGACACTGATATTAATATATAAGGTAATAGACCATATATAACTACAGAAGAAAGATTTGATGCTATAACCCATTGAAAGAAGACATTACATGTCACAATGGGCACTCTCTGGGACTTGAACTTTTAACAGCTAGTAGAAGAGACAAACAGAAAAGGAAAGCCAACAAGAAAGTCTCCAGGTAGAGGTTGGCTTGGGGCCTTCATAACAAGAAAACAAAAAAACTTGTCTCTTCCATGATTTCATTAAGGTCTGGGACAAGTTTATTAATTTTATGAAGGCAAGACTGGAGTATATTGCAACTTGGGTTTTGATAGAGATGTGGAGTTATTAGAAGTGTAATAAAAATAATAATGGAACTTCAAATCTTTATCAGCTATAATCTCTAATAAAGGGGGAATTCTATATCATTTTCCACTATGAGCAGTGTTTGGCATAGAATATTTAGGAAGAAACCCAGTCTTCTTGTTGTACTTAATCGTTTTTTCTTTGATAGTGATGATACAATGAAGGCTTTGCATGCTAATTGTTTGTGTCTTGTAAGGGAACTAGTATCCTCAATTGTCAGCCAGCAACATGTCAGTATGCTGAAAAAATGAAAGAGGCAATAGATGCAAAATATTCACTCATATATCAAATCTTCTAATCAGAGATGGTGTCAAGAAAGTGGAATCCAAAATACTAACTGGCTTGGGTGATTCAACCAGCATCTGGGTCAGGAAGGAACTCAATTTTGAGGATAGCAGAAGTGAAGGAACTAGCCTTTGATATATCTCTAAGGCAGAAACTCGAATTTTGGGACCAATACTAACAGGAGCCCCTGGTGGCACAGTGGGTTAAAGGGCTGAGCTGCTGAGCTTGTTGACCAAAAGGTCACAGGTTCGAATCCGAGGAGCAGCATGAGCTTCTGCTGTCAGCCCCAGCTTCTGCCAACCTAGCAGTACGAAAAGATGCAAATGTGAGAGAACTATAGGTACTACTCCAGCGGGAAGGTAACGGCAGTCATGCTGGCCACATGACCTTGGAGGTGTCTATGAACAATGCCAGTTCTTCGGCTCAGAAATAGAGATGAGCACCACACCCCAGAGTCGGACACAACTGGACTTCATGCCAGGGGAAAACCTTTATCTTTTTACTAAAAGATAAAGGTTGCATGTACTCTGAAGCAGCATTGGCTCTCATAAAGTTATAGCTTGTTTTAATTACAATGTTAAAACTTGCATCTTATGTTTAATCTCTGTTTTGTGTATTTTAATAAGTATCTTCTGGAAATATGTTTTAATATATTTATTTTAAAGAATGTTTTTAGTTTAATGTGTGTTTTATAATGTTGCAACCCACCTCAAGCAGTGAGGAGAGGTGAGCAAGAAATAAAATGTATTATTATTATTTGAAACACAACAAGATTAGTACACAGCAAACAAAATCACTATGCTGGCTGTTTTATTGGATCACACGTTGGACACTTCCCAAGTGTCTAGGACTGTGTGATATATTGGCAAATAATGTGTGCAGATCCGAGCAGGGTGGCCTTTTGAAGTTGACAGATGGTAATTTTGTCAACGCCAACTGTGTTTAAGTGCAGGCAGGCCTGTAGCCAGGATTTCATTTCGGGGGGGGGGGGGCGGGGTTTGTTTCGGGGGGGGGGTGAGGCACTGCACCCAGTGTGCCGATCACCACTGGGACCACCTTTATTGGCTTGTGCCAGAGTCTTTGCAGTTCAATCTTTAAATCCTCATATCATGCCAGCTTTTCCGGTTGTTTCTCTTCAATCCTGCTGTTGCCTGGGATTGCAACATCGATTATCCATACTTGGTTTTTTAACACGATCATGAGGTCAAGAGTATTGTTTTCCAAAACTCTGTCAGTCTGAATTTGGAAGTCTAAGAGTAGTTTGATGTGTTCATTTTCTGTAACTTTTTCAGGCTTGTGATACCACCAGTTCTTTGTCACAGACAGATGGTATTTGTGGCACAAGTTCCAATGAATCATCTGAGCAACAGTATTATATCTCTGCTTGTAGTCTCTCTGTGCTATCTTCTTTCAGCATCTGAGGATGCAACCCATCATTTTGTCTACTTCCTTGAAGAGTCTACACTTGGGATCTATCGTCAACTTTTCAATTCTGGCTTTGATGGCATTTGTTCTAATTGCCTGTTTTTGGGCTGCAAGAATTAGGTCCTCAGTCTCCTTTTTCAAAGTTCCATTTGTGAGCCATATCCATGCTTTTTCTTTGTCAATTGTGCTCTCAATTTTTTCAAGGAACTGTCCATGGAGAGCCTTCTTTTGCCAGTTTTCTCTTCTGCTCTGTATTTTATTTTTAGGGTATTCACTCTCTGTCTTTTGCACTTTAAGCAGTTTTCTACTATTGACTTCCATCCATGTTGTTTCTCAACTGTCTTTCACATAATCTGCCAGTGCATGTTTCTCTTCTACCATTTGTTTCACTTGCAGAAGCCTTCTGTTTCCTGATTTTCTGGGCAGGTAGTCTGTCGACATCACTACGAGGATGTAAAGAGTAGTAGATTGTCATCAGTTTTCTCATCCAGCTCTGCTTGTGTC